ACTCTGAAGGCTATGATGAAATTAACACAAAGGTTATTAAAAGCTGCAGAGATCAGATAGCCACAATATTAGCATACTTAATAAATTTATCTTTGGAAACTGGGACTTTCCCAGATAAACTGAAATATTCAATTGTTAAGCCACTCTTTAAAAATGGTTCTAGATTAGAGTTAGACAATTATCGACCAATTACACTAATATCAATTCTATCAAAGATATATGAAAAGATAATGCATGATAAACTTTCGTCATTCTTTGTTAAGTACAAAGTATTGAATGATAATCAATATAGCTTCCTGAAAAATAAATCGACTACACTTGCTGCCTTTGAGTTAGTAGATCATACTCTAAGAAGTATAAATGATAGGAAGGAAACTTCAGTCCTCCTATTTGATATGTCAAAAGCTTTTGACTTTGTATCACACAGTAAACTATTTTTTAAATTGGAGCAAAGTAGAATTAGAGGTTAAGCACTAAGTTGGATCAAATCATACCTTCAAAATAGGATGCAGTCAGTGGAAATTGCTCAACTTAGTAATAAACAAGTGATACATAAAGAAAAATCAAATTTCACAGAAACTAATTATGGTGTGCCCCAAGGCAGCATTCTCGGCCCTTTGCTGTTTTTAATCTATGTGAATGAATTACCTAAAGTGACGAAACATAAATGCATCCTATATGCTGATGACATTTCAGTTGTAGTAACAACTGATAAAAATAAAAACATAAATTACCATGAAAATGACATAAATAAAACAATTGATTCGATAATAACGTGGCTTAATGATAACAATTTAAAAATCAATATTAACAAAACACATTATATAAACTACGGTTACAATCAGACATTGAATATACATTATGGGAATCATTCTATTAAAAAAACAAGCAGTGCTACTTTTCTGGGCATTGAGCTTGACCAAAAAATTGATTGGAAGTTACATGTAGACAAGGTATGCAATAAAATAAATAAATTTGCTTATGCACTTTTTAAACTTACTAAAACAGCAACTAAAAATACGGCTCTAACAGCATATTTTGCTTATGTGGAATCGGTCTTGCGATATGGGCTTATTGTTCGGGGCAATAGTACGGACATACAAAGGGTATTTGTAGCACAGAAAAAGTGCATAAGGGCAATATGCGGGATTGCAGCCGATATGTCATGCAAACCATTTTACAAACCCCTATATATTTTGCCTCTGCCATGGCTCTATATCCTGGAGATATCTAAGTTCGTAAAGTTAAATCAAAATTACTTTAAAACTGCCCGTGAGATATTTCCTACAAATACAAGACATGGTAAAAGGTTAGTCATTAATACAATCCCGAAAAGCACACGTTTTAAAAAAAACTGTTACTATATGTGCATTCAAATTTTTAATAATAATCCACAATCAATAAGAGATTTGCCTTTCAGTAGATTTAAAATAACACTACATAGATGGCTCATTGAACGTAAATTCTACTCGGTCCAGGAATTCTTGAATTATGATAGCTAATATATAAATAATAGTAATTTTGTGGATGAGATTTTGAGTGACATATACTGATTTAATTATATTTTTGATTCACATTTTAATATGACCTGATTTCAATCGAATTTTTATATTTTTTGACTATTTATTTTGTGACCTGTTAAGTAATTTTTATTCAATCATGTGACATAGTATTAATTAATTTGATAAAAAACTGATGTAAATTTGCATGCTACGTTCTATAGCTGAATAGGTGAAACCTACAGTATAGTTATGTGTAACTATATATGACTTTGATTACCCTGTTCAAACGCAAATAAATAATTATTCTATTCTTATTCTATTCATGCTGAGTGGGGCTAAAGGAATGGTTAATTGCTGAGTATAGCTGCTCATACACAATCTTTTCAAGAACCTTTGAGACTATACAAAGTTTAGAGATTGGTCGATAATTGGTTATGTCAATCCTGGATCCTTGCTTGTGGACAGGTGTGATAAAAGCACGTTTCCACAACCTTGGTACAATACCTTCAACCAATGATCTTTCAAAAAGGATAGCTAATGGAACTGCAATAGTTTTAACGCAAGATATAAGGAACTGAGCTGGTAATAAATCGGGACCGGCTGACTTGGATGGATCCAGTGTCGAAAGAAGCTTCGCCACATTTTGAATATCGATTTCTATATTAGTTATATTTGTAACGGTGATGTTAGTACCAGAAGAATAAACATTCGATTGAATGGTGGGACAGTCTAAAAAATTTGAATTAAAATAATTAGAAAAAGCATTACTGATTGAATGACCTGTATTGAGAATAACATCATCATGTCTCATACTGCTAGGAATATCATTCGTATCAGATTTAGACTTAATAAAAGACCAAAATAGTTTAGGGTTATCCTTTAAAGAACTCTCAACAGACTTCTTAATATAGTCATAGTAGCATTGCCTCTCCATTGCCCTACACCGATCTCTAAGCCGAAGCCGATATTTAAATGTTAATTCGTCAGCGAGGTTCCCGTATGTCTTGAACTTTTTCAGGTATTTATATTTCTCTTTAACCCATTAGTGCATAAAATTTATTAACGCCTTTTTCATTATGATCACTGTAATATATTTTCATTTCGAGTGTATTTGACCATTAAATTATATAAAATATTTAATCAATATGAAAGTTTAGATTTTATAGCCCGTCCGATAAATCGGACGTTATGCACGGCGGACACTGTAGATGTTAAAAAAATATGAAAATAAAAGTACGACTTTCATGAATAAATTTACTATAATAAGCAACAGAAAATAAATAGATTTTAATTTACGACGTGGTATGCCATGTGACATTTCGGGTGAAGGCCTACATCACATTTCTGACACTGGAATTTACTTTTCCCGCCACATTGATTTGCACAGCGACGTTCAGTATTTATTGGGACCAGCCAATGTCCTTTACCGTCGTATCTCATTGTACATATTGGTTTTGCTGGCTTGCGGCCTTGATGCGGCGGTATGCCATGTGTGGAAAGCAAGCTTCTTGTTATGAACCGTCTTAAAACGAATAAGGACTCGGTGTCTCTCGTGCAGCCATTCTTCCGAGCAAGTAACCAGGCGTTTACTACAGACACGTCTACTAAATATGCAAATATGGGCCGCCACCACTTCTTTATTCGCATCCTAGTTCGTAAGTTTGCCACGGCCTGGTCGCATTTGTCTACTCCACCCATATACTTATTGTAATTTGAAATAAGTGATGGCTGAGGGACTTGCACTTTAGCTTTTTTTTCGTTAGATCAGCGGGTTGCAGATGTAATTGCAAGATTTTCAAAGTTAGTGGCTACTGTGACAACATTGTTATCATTCCACCGGCATACGAAGACATCATCAGCTAATCGGTAATCGTAATGACCTCGCGCTTCCCTCTTGAATTGTTTTACGTCTTTGACAGTACAGTTTTCAGTGCGATTAGCTCCCAAGGTTCCCGTAGCATAATAGCCGATCTCCTTCAGGTGTCTCATTAGGCTCAAAGATGTAAAATAATTGTCAAAAAACAATTTTATGCCACTATTAGGCGGAAGTTTGCTCAATCTAATTAGTCGGAGAACAACATCGCCACCTAGTCCAAAATCTTTTTTTTCGGTACTCTTTCCCGTGTATAAGCTGAAAGCTACCATATATCCGGTACTTGCACACATTGCCCAGTTTTTGAAACCAAATCTTATTGGCTTTCCACGGATGAACTGTTTAGCGTAGTGTTTCCCATAGTAAGGGATCATGCTTTCATCTATGCTATACTGTTCATCCATTCCGTAGTGTTTTTGGAACGATTCACCTAGACTTTCAATAATAGGACGTAATTTATGCAATCTATCTGTAGATTCACCGAGCTCGCTGTTGTCGTTCAAGTGCACGTGTTGAAGAATAATTTCGAACCAATTGCATCTAATGCTATCCTGTAGAATTGTAGGCACGTCATTATCTTTGCAAAAATACAATCGTTTTTTTGGCAACTTGACGTAGCCTGACAATAGCATTGCTCCTAATATAACGTAGATCTCGTCTTCCGTTACCATCAAAAATTTATTTTTTTGCAAAGCGTACAGGTTTGTTTGTTTGACTATATGTTTGATAAGATCATTGTGAAAAAAAAATTTGAAGTATTCTAGTGGATTTTGACATGCTTTACTTTCATCTGATGGTGGCTGTGGACGATATTCAGTACAAATAAAAGCGGGTTCCTCTTTTTTCCAATGTGTAGATTTTTTTCTTTTTAGCTGGGGGTGCAGACCTTGATGACTTGTGGGAAATGAAATAAGAAAGGGGCTGCTCGTCTTCACTATCGCTACTTGATAAAGAATTATCATTTGACGATCTTTGCGTATTTGAACCAAAGGCTGTAGACGTTGATGGAATAGAAACAATTGTATCACCTCGAAAACGTTGCAATTCTTAGCTAGTTTGCAGCAGCCTTCGTCCTAAGTGATTTAGGTTCGCACCATGCTCCTCGTCGGACTTGTCACTGTCTTCATCAGTGACCTGATCGGTATGCTCAATAGGGGGCTCAACGTAAATTATATTTTCTGTATAATTATCATATTCCTCACACTCCAAAGCAGATAATATTTCATGAACTTGCAAGCTGTAACAGTTCGAGAAAACACCACATGCAGTACCCGCCGTGCATAGCGTGCGATATATCGGACAGTACATATCCACCGCTATTGCACTTAGCGTACGGATGTGTATTGTGTGTTACTAGATGCAGTGCCTAATTTTATCAGTCTAAATACGAGATACGAACACAAACAAAAGATGGTGCAATGTAAGAAGTGTAAACTCTTCGTCTCCATGACAAAGGATGACATAGTAAGGTGTAAAGGACCCTGTGAAGCAGTACTGCATAAAAAATGTGCTAACAACTATAGGCTATTTACGCAGACAGGAATGTGTGAGGATTGCCAAAAAAAGGATTCCACTGGAAATACCTCAGGAACTAAACATCAATCGAAAATAGATATCGATCCAAGCGAGTTGTCGGTTGAGACTTTGTTGCAACAAGTAAATAAAAAGTTAGATATTATATACAAAATTGAAAAACGGTTTGAAGATCTTCAAGATACGGTAGAATTCTATGCAGAGCAGTATCAAATGATGATAGATTTTAAAAAAACCACGGAGAAGAAATTTAAAGCATTGGAGCAAAAAAATGTTTTCTTGGAAAAGCAAAATCAGGCCTTAGAAGAAAGAATATTGGAGTTAGAACAAAAAGAGAAGGACAAAAATGTGGAAATAGTAGGATTAGAAAAAGAAAAAGATGAGGAAATAGTGGATATAGTAAAAAAAATACCTATAACATTGAACTTGGAAGCTGAAGACATAACTGATGCAAAAAGGGTAGGTAAAGAAAAAGAAATAAACGGTAAAACTATGCAACCCATAGTGATTACGTGCAGAAATAAATTAACACGAGATAAATGGATAGATGCAAGAAAAACAGTAATAACGAATGACCAAATATACAATAATAAAAGTGAAAATAAAATATTTATTAACGAGGACCTACCTAAATATAAGCGTCAGCTGTTTTGGAATGCCAAAAACGAATTGAAAAATAAATATAAATACATTTGGATACAAAACTCCAATATACTTGCAAGAAAATTTGATGAAAAGAAAATATATAAAATCAAAAGCGAAAAAGATGTAGAAATACTAAAAACTAAGTAGCTCAACTTTTCTAAAATACTTTGGCCTATCAACTTAAGTACCTATATAATTAAAATTCGATGACAGCAATTGTTATATCGAATATGCAAGATATATGGATATAAACAAGTTGAATTATTCATTGCAAAAAAATGACAATGGTTTTAATGTATTCCATCTGAATATTAGGTCACTAAAAAGCATTATAATGAACTACTGATTCTACTAAATAACATGATGAAGTGTTTACATATTATTGTTTTGACAGATATAAACATTAAACAGGAAGATGTCGATCTGTACCCGATACCAGGGTTTGATAGCAAGTTTGCTTATACAAGGGAAAGTCAAAGAGGAGGCGGAGTCATAATTTATGCAAGGGGAAGATTAAACATAGAATTTAAAAAGTTAAAATTTACAGTAGCAGAGTGTATATCCGGAAAAATATTATTACCAAATAGTCATAATAGCATAAATATTATAGCCGTATACAGACCGCCGAGAAAAAGTAAAGAAAACTTCATACAGCAGCTGAGCGTATTGATACAGAGTATACCTATGACAGAAGATCTTATAGTAATTGGCGATATAAACATCGATATGTATAAACATCGAAGCAATTCTATAACGGACTTATACAAAACAACATTGACAGGGTTGGGCTTGCAGTGTGCGATACCTAGCACTGAGATAACGAGAGAGGAAATCGTTGACGGGCGGTTAGTAGCATCGTGCATCGACCACGTCTGGGTGCGAAGGAGACAGCCTCAACCGAACTCCAACGACGCAACACTGGCTGCCGAGGATGCGGCTTACGTACTTGAGTGTAACATATCGGATCATTACGCTACAGGTATTTCCTTTAGTATTTCTCAGTGGCAACAATCGCAAAGTAGTGTTTATATGCATAAGAATGTTCTTAATGAAAATATGGTGTCGCATAAATTGAGCGCGTATGATTGGTCAAAGTTGTTACTGATTTCATGTCCTCTTATTTTATATCAAAATATATGCCTTGTGTTTAATAGTATTTACGAAGAATCTAGTAAGGAAATCATAATTAAACGGAAAAGAGTAACGCAACCATGGGTAACTAAAGAATTATATTATATGCTTGTTAAACGAGATACCCTATTCCGAACGTGGAAAGGGTCTCCTAATAGTATGAATAAAAGACACCAATATACAAAATATCGAAATAAAGTAAATAAAGCGATAAATACGGCCAAGAATAGTTATAGCCAAAATGAAATAAAGAAATGTAATGGTGATCATAGAAAAATATGGTTAAATATAAATAATTGGCTGGGGAGGGGAAAACCAAATGTAGATAGTGTTATATTAAAATATTTAGGGAAGAATAGTGATTTATTAAATGTATGTAATGGCTTTACTAGAACATTTACCAAAGAAATTCAGGAAATAAAGCATGTGTGTAATATAAAATTGTTAAATAGAAAACCGTACGTAACAGCCAGTAATATATCGTTTAGATTTGTTAAAGCTACCCAGAAGGAAGTGTCAAAAATTATTTATAATATTTCAAGTGAAAAATCACCAGGTATAGATAAAATTAGAATGAAAGACTTAAAATATATTAAAGAAAAAATCAGTCCCGTATTAGCTCATTTTATAAATATTAGTATGGCAAAAAGTATCTATCCAAATCAATTAAAAAGTGCTATAATAAGACCTATTTACAAAAGTGGAAGTCATTATGAGTTTACAAATTATCGTCCAATAGCAATATTATCGGCTATAAATAAAATTGTTGAGAAGGTGATAGTTGGGAGAGTATGTGCATTTTTAGAAAATAACAGTTTGTTGGCGAATGAGCAGCACGGATTCAGACGCGCGCGTAGTACGAAAATAGCCTTAAGTAACTTTGATGAAATAATTAACGATAGCCTCAACAATGGAAAACAAGTGATAGCGCTGTTCATTGATTATAAAAAAGCTTTTGACACCCTGGATCATGACATTCTTCTCCAGGCCATGGAGGAGTGTGGACGTTTTTTTCGGCAGCCGTGATGTTGTGGGAGCGCTGCTGGAGGCCGGTTGCGCGGTCGGCACGGCGGCGGGGGAGGCGGCGGTCGGTTTTTCATTTTGTGTCAAATCCGGGGGTAGACACGAAACTTTTGCCTTCTGGGCGTAGCTTACCGACTGTGTCTGTGTCGGTAAAGCAGTTTCGTGTTCGGCAGCGGGAGCGGTCTCGGTGTCTTGTTGTTCTTCTTCTTGGGGCTTCGGCTTCGCCATGGGGACGGGGGAGTCGCCGCAGCTGCGGCACCGGCAGAGGCGCGGGTCGCAGCGCCAGCGGGGGCGTCTCTTCTCCGTTTTTGGTTGGGTATAGATCGGCAACATGTAAATGTTGCGTGACGGCGGGAAGGTGAGCGGCATCTTGCTGACTCTTCGGCTGTCGTTGGCAGTGGGCCGGTCGCCAAGCCAGTAGGTGTCGGTGGAGTCCTCATCCATCTCCAGGAGACGGACGTAGACCCGTATCCAGTCCGCCAACCGCACGGACAATAGGCCAGAGTCCAGGAGACGGGCTGCCATCGCGGCGTCCAATTCATATTGGACGCGGGCCGACTTCAGCCCGTGCACCACGGCGCAGAAGTGCGCGAGGTTGTGCGCGATGTCCGCGTCGGTCGTCGGGGTGGAGTTGTCCATACTGCAGAGGTGGGGTGCTACGCCTGCGCGATCCTGGCCGAGCTGCGCCTCGCGGCGCGCTCAAGGCCTGCGGCTCGGTGCGGGGCAGTCAACGCTGGCACTGGGTGGCGCCAGGCAGTCTCGCGAAAGACAAAAAGCACACGTTTTTGCTCGGAGACTATACTAGTGCGATGGATCCGTGCGCGGCGGCGTAGTTGCGGTCCATCCCCGAGGTCGAGGCTCTCTTATCTTCGTCTCGCGCGTCGCCGGCGCCGGAGGCGCCGCGGCGTGCGGGGATTCCGGTATAGGATCGCTCCTCTTCGGACGTGTCGGGTGCGCACTCCGTCTCTACGGAGCGGTCGTTGGGTCCTTTTTTCTCTCCTCTCTTCGGCTTCACCACCGCCCTCGGCGCGGTCAAGCCCACCGAGTGAGACCCGTGTGGGAGGCCCGGTGAAGACCAGCGAGCAGGCGGTGGACTTAGGGTGAAGAGGGAGAGCAGGGCTGGTCAATGTGGTGGTGATGTCGATAGGGGTGGGGTTGTGTTTTGATTGGATGGTATTTTTTTTTTTTTTTTTTATTATTATTTTTTTTTATATATATATTTTTTTTTATGTATTTATATGTATATTTTTTTGACCATTCCAATCTGGGAAGGAGTCGGGAGTGGGGTAGATCAGGTGTGGGGCCCGCCCGCTGTGTTGCGGGCGGGGCCGACGTTAAGTAGGTGGCGGTGGCTCCACCGCTCGCGGGGATCGCGAGGAACTTTGTGGTACTTCTTCAGGTGGTAGAATCTCTCTGGGGAGGGCTCTGTCGCGGCGGGTGCGGGCGCGCTCGTACGCAGGCGCTAAGTCGCGCAGGTGGTCATGCGACGAGTGGCTCGCTCGGCTGTACATATTGGCGGCTAGTCTTTGGATAAAATCGTCTAGGGGTTCGGTGCGTAAGTCTCTATGTAGGGTAGAGTTACGGATGAAGAAACCTGCGTTGGTGATTGTTCGCAGGGTGTGATGTTGTTGGGCGCGTAGTCTCTCTCGCTGCGATTCCGCAACCAGAGCGTACCACGCGGGGGCTGCGTAGGTGAGTAGTGGCCTAATGTAAGTTTTATATATATTTACTTTAATTTTGATGGGCAGGCGGCTTCGTAATACTGGGCGTAGTTGCGCTCTGACTGCTTTTGCTTGAGATACGGTGTTCTGGACGTGGCGGCGGAGGTTTAGGCGGCGGTCGATCGTGACTCCAAGGTATTTGACCTCGGGAGCCCACGAGACCGGCCTGCCTAAAATGGTGAGTGGTGGCGGGTCTGAACGTTGAGAGCCGACGAGTAGTGCTTGAGTTTTACCTACATTAACTCGTATGCGCCATTTGTCGAGCCATGGTGTTAAGGCGTCTAGTGTGGGCTGCAGTTTGGCGGCGGCGTGTCGGGGGCGGATAGACGAGCTAATGTAGGCAGTGTCGTCTGCGTATAAGGCGAGCTTCACATCGCCGACGACCGGGACATCGTTCGTGTACACCGAATATGGGTGGGGCGAGAGGCAGCTGCCCTGTGTGACACCTGCTCGGACTGGGCGCGGTGTTGATAGAGCACCCTCAACTGCAACTTGGATGCGGCGGTCGGCGAGGAAAGATGCAACTATCTTCAGTAGTCGGAGTGGCAGCTGAGCTTGTTCGAGTTTATAGAGAAGGCCTTCGTGCCAAACTCTATCAAAAGTCTTCTCTATATCCAATAGTACAACGGCGGAGTACTCACGCTTGTTGTTGCAAGTGGCGAGGTGGTGGATGACTCGGGTAAGCTGTAGGGTGGTTGAGTGCTCGGCCCGAAAGCCAAATTGCTCTGGGCGGGGCTGCAAGTATGGAAGCAATTTAGGTAGAAGGAGTCGTTCAAAAACTTTTGATAGTATACACAGCAGGATGATGGACCGGTAGCTGTCTGGGCGAGAAAGGTTTTTACCCGGTTTGGGGATCATTATCACCCTGCCTTCTTTCCATTTTGTTGGGAAGTGTCCGGTTCTACAGATTCCGTTGAAGAGCCGGGTGATAGCTGCGATGGTCCTTGGGGGTAGGTGGCGTAGTGTGGCGTTGTTTATGGCGTCTGGTCCGGGTGCCTTTCGTGGCTTGCTTTTGTGGATTTCTCTCCCCACCTCCTTTGGAGAGAAAAATATAGAGTCGACGTGTGTGTCAAGCGGCGACGAGACAGCTAATCACGTGCGACCTTACGGTCGCGGTGTGCTCACTGTCTGTCGTGTCGTTGGGCGTGAAGAGGCGCTCGAGGTGATTGGCCAGCAGCTCGGCGCGGTCTTCGGCGCGGTAGCGTGGGTGGCCGTTTTCGTCGGTTAGCGGGCGTGGTGTCTTAGTGGGGCGAGTTGCTTGCATAGGCGGTAAACGGATTTCATGTCTCCGCCCACGCCTAGCAAGTGTCGGTCCCATGATGCAGTCGCTTGGTCTTCGAGCGCGCGCTTTATTTGCGCTGTCAGGGCGTTCAAGTTCGTTTTTGTTATGGGGCAGCGAGTGAGCTGCCAGAGTCTTTGCAATCTGCGCTTTTTGGCCAGTAGTTCCTTCGTCCTATGTGGGAGGGGGGGGCTCCCCTCTGTGGTCGGGCGGGTGCGGCTGGATGTTTTAAGCGCTGATTGTATTACCTCTGTAAGCTCTCTTGTCGTCGCTTCTACGTCATCTGGGGTGTTTATTGGCTGCGATGTGGTGTTTAGTGCCGCTGCGCGTTGGAAGGCGTCCCAGTTGATGGTGAGGCGTGGTGGGGGAGGTGTCACTCGTGTGGGTAGGTTGTTTAATGTGCATATGACTGGGCGGTGGTCGGAAGGTAGGTCAAGCATTACCTCCTGTGTAATGAAGCCGTCGATGTCGCGATGGACTATAATGTCTAAGACGTCGTCGACTCTTCCCGCCGGATCGTGTCGCGTCGGCTCAGAGGGGCCCGACACGTCATAATCGTGTTCGGCGGCGTCTTGATGTATAGTGCGGTTAGCGTAGTTTATGGTGGTGGAGTGCCAGGCGGTGTGCTTAGCGTTTAGATCGCCCGCCAGGATGGTAGGTAGCGGGCGCAGGAGCTGTCTAAACTCACCGATTTCGAGTGTATCGCCCGGCGGTTTGTAAACCGCGTACAATCTCATCTCGCGACCGCCGAGCAGTAGGTCGATTCCGAGTGCGCGCATTGAGGTGAGGTGCGCAGGTTGGTGGACGATGCGGTTGTGTACTAAGACCATTAGCCCTCTGATGGCCACTCCGCTGGTAGGTGATGCCTCATCCTGTCTGTAAATAGTGTAGTTGGGGATGCGGAAATTCGTAGTAGGGGTAAGCCTTGTTTCACTCAATAACGCGACGTCAATCTTATTTTCTCGGAGGAAGTGTAGCAGCATGCGTCGTTTTCTTCCGAGTGAGTTCGCGTTCCAGTGCATGAATTTTAGGCCTGTGAATTTTGGTTCATTATGTTAAGGAGGCCAAGTTGAAATTGCTCGGCAAGGGCGAGCATGCGTTGCACAGCGTTCATTTCTGTCGGTTTGTTTACCGGCGCTGTTGGTTTCTCAGATGGCTCCGCGGGTTTGTTTGCGGGGCCACCTTTAGAAGTGGAGCGTTGGCCCCTTTTCTTCTTGCGGCGGCGGTTAGAGGTGGTGGTGGTGCCGTCCCGGGCGGTTGGTGCATTAGCGGGGGCCATAAGCGTGGCTGGCGCGTGTTCGCTTACCTCCGGTTTTTTTTTTATTGTGGCGTTGGTAGTGGGGCCTGTCTTGGCCACCGTTGTCGCTGTTTTGTTTCGGGCCTCTTTCCTTAGGGCCGGGCAGGAGCTATGGTTTGCTGGGTGCGGGCCACCGCAGTTGGCGCAGGTCGCGGGCTCCGACCGTGGGCGCGGGCAGTCAGCGGCGGCGTGTGCGGCGCCACAGCGAACGCAAGCGAGTGGGCGATGACAGCCCTTTGAAGAGTGCCGAAAGCCCTGGCATCGGTGACATTGGGCGGGCCCCTTCTTGCCTCGCCATGCCTCTATGGTCACACCTGTCATGTTTAGGAGCTCGTCGGTCTCGTAGATCCTGGGGATGATGTCAGGCGTCCGGTTCAGTGCTGCGAAGAATATACAACCTGGGCGACCGGCGCGTGCTCGGATGCGCTTGACGTGCTCGCATCGGAAGCCTCTTTCCGCTAGGGCCTCAACGATGTGAGCCGGCTCCGTGTTGTATGGTAGTCCTCTTATTGCGAGTTTTAGGCTTCGTTCCTCGGGGAGTGCATACGAGTACCAACTTAGACCCCCCAACCCCTCTAAGTCGGTAAGGTAAGCTTGAATTAGTCGGTACTCGTCTGCGTTGTCGGGGGTGAAACGCACCCCTACGCCGAAGGGGCGGGCGTTAGGTGCTCTTCCCAGCTTCTCGCGTATGGCCCGGAAGTGCGTCGGCCAGTCGGGCAGGTGCTCCACCACCAGTGGGGGGTACTTACGTTCCCTAGGGGCGGTGGGAGCGGCTCCGTCTGTTGTGGCGGCAGTTCCCGGGCGTGGGCGGGTTGCGTCGGCTTGGGCGGGCGGCATGGTTGCAGGGTAGGCGGCTGTCGAGGTGGTGGGTTGGGCAGCAGCAGTAGTGGTCGCCTGTGCGTAGGTGGTGGTGGGAGGGTGGGTCGACAATTTTTTTTTGTCGGATACCCCCACGTTTGGCGTTTGAGTAGGACAAGTGAATAGCTGTCTCGGCTCCATCTGTGATTGAGTGGAGGGTGTTTGAGATATCACCTGCGTGGGTAGTGGTGTTTCGTTTGTGGTCATCGGTACGGTGGGGCTTGGTTGCGGATTTTCTATGGGAGCCGGCGTGTCTCCGCTGCTGTGCGATCGCGTTAGTCGCGGATCGCGTAGGCGGCAGGCACGTTTATCGGGCGTTTCTGGCGGCGTAGCTGTATCCCGGGTGCGTTTTCGTTGCCATGGTGGGTCGATTTGCGGCAGCTGGAGGGGTGAGCCGCTGATGGCCCGCAGCGCCGCCAACGCCAGTTGGTCGGCAGGACACAGGGCGTGTGTCTGTCCTGCTTCGCACTCCAGCAACCGAGCGTAGGTGGCCAACCAGCGATTCAGCCTGTCCGACAGATGGCCGGTGCGGATCATCCGGGCAATCATAACTACATCAAATTCATATTTGGTTAGTCGTGATTTCCGGACTTTCTCGGCCGAATCACTGGCGGCCCCCTCGGGTGCTGCAGCGCGACTTGCGGGGGGTAGTTGTCGGCCAGTGGCGCGGGTAAGCGGGGCGGGCGTTACGAACTGCTCATCGCTTTTCGTGCGTCGTGGTGAGGGAGTCGGCGGTTTCGATTGCTGTTGTGGCGTCGTGCGCTGTGCCATGTTTTCGCGACGTATCGCGAGCGCGACGCGGCAGCGCAGCTGGGTATGAGCGCGCGCGACCCTGAGCAACGCGCGCGAGCGCGCTGCCCTGCAGCTAGTTAAAGCAGAGCCGAGATAGGAGTTTAAAAAAAATACTTTATTTTATAACTTAACCTATAGGTACAACTATTGGCAGCTCCGCGATGGAGGCCGGTTGATATAATAATAATCTAATAAAATTAAATATTGAACGGATGTGTGTTGCAGTGTCAGCGATTCAACGTATGTGGAAATTAATCTGCTGACGCTGTAACATGAATTTAAAGAAAAACAATTTAATTAAGAAATAGCAAAAATTATAGTTAAGGCTAGGACTACACAATTATATTTTAGGATAGGTATACACTAATTATTAGGGGTTTTATCAATGTGCACACATATAACACCTCCATCCTTAGATGAGCCATTATCTCACTTGGAGAGAGAATGGCGATGCATATACAGGAGCATCGATGGTGGATCTTGCAGGAGTGTTGAGTGGTACTGCAGGGATACTGGATGATACTGCAGGAAGGCTGGAGGAGACGGCAGGCTCCTCTAGATTCAGCTTCCCTTTGGACTGCTTTGTTTTCTTGTAGATTATCATCCCAATTATTATCAGAGGTATGATAATGTATATTGGTACAGTAAGCGCAATATGGCTCGATGTTATTTCAGGTTGATCTATAGCTAGGGGATCTTCTCTTTCTATAAGATGCTGTAGGTCATGTAGTTTGCTCAATGAGATATCCTTTATATCTAGGGCTGGTACAGACTCGTTAAGGTGAGCGAGAGACAGGTTCAAAGATATCAGCTTGATAGGTGTCCCGGTAATATTATTGTATTTGTTGAATATCCTGATGAGGGTGTTGATATTGAACAGCCTGCAGGGATGGTTACTAATACACTGCCCTTGTAGATGGAATAAGTGTCAGAATCGCAGCTTGCGTCCAATTTAGTTCGATTTGGTAGGCTTAATAGATAAGTAGCTTCATCCAACTGTTCTATTATCTCCAAGGTGTTTTTAATCTTCGTAAATTTGCACTGAGATGTTATCAGCTGATGAACTATGAGGGTGTGGATGCAATCAGGCAGGCGAGATGTTATCTTGTCGTCTTCTGTGCAGATATTTAAATCTGCTAAGTGCTTACACTCTCTCTCTAGGTAGCTGTATTTATTATCATTCATTGCTAAATAAGGTTTACGGGGAATGAGTATAGTTTGGTTGAGAGTGGGGACAGGATAAAGCTTGTAAAGGGTATAGGATGAGGTATCAAGGATAGGAACCTTGAGCACTATTACTATTGTGTTATCCCTAAAATAAGAGCCTGTGCTAATTAAATCGTAATAATCCCTAACTTCATTAGACTTAACGGGTACTAATCTATCACTACTATAATTTAATTCTAAAATATCTATCATTTCCTGGATGTTGGTGGGAGTTACGACTTCATGATGACATATTCCTAATTTCGTAAAGGCTAATATATTTTCTAAAGTAGAAAGAAATGTAAAGATGGTGTCTATATTATTTTTTAATTCTAAGTAAACTGAATCTAAATAAAGTCGCTTCCTATAGTGCAAATCATATTTTGAACTAATATTGTACATCTGATTTATAGAATTTTGAATATGGTTTTGATTTTCTATGAGTCCTGAGATAGTCGTATTGATCTCACGCAATGCCCCTTTATTGATAGATATATCTTTATTAACTCTAGTTACTATTTTATTCTGATTATCACTTAGATGTCTAATAGCAGAATCATATCGAACAGCATCATTGTAATCTAGATTCCCTGAGATTCTCTTGATTAGAGATCCTAGTTCATTTATTAGGGCTCTTTTAAATCTTTTGTTAGTTAAGCTGTTATACATAGTAATTAAACTTTCAATGTTGTTCGATATGTATTGCTTCTTATAATAGTGCATATGATTATCGAACTCTACTTCCTTAAGATAAAGTTCTAAATTGTCCATATCCTTCTTTTGCTTAACAATAGTCCTAATAGAATCTTCTAATTTATCTAAATCTATGTAATGCACGAAGGTGTGCTCTAGATCTACAAGTTTCGTTTTCCCTAGTTTAAATGGAAGTATTCCGGGATTATTCTCAAGGGGGGTTATAAGAACTTCCCGTAGAGCTCTCACTGTCAGAAGACTCGCTAGGATCATCCTGGAACAAATTAATAGTATTTTTTAAAGGACGCCTAATATTTCGCCTAGCAATCCTTCGTCCCCTATCAATATTAATAGCTAAGGGATCAACATCCTTTACTATACGTACTTTATACCTAGGTTCTGTTTTTTGTCTCGTTTCTGTTTTTTCGAATACTACTTGGCCTGATGAAACAGAAGGCAAGGACTCGCGATCTTTGTTCTGATATGATATTTGCTTCTCATGTTTTTCAGAACTAAAATCGTGAATATTTTTATACAGAGCTTCGGTAAGTTTTTTATGCTCAGTAACATATTGTTGCAAGTATTCTTTGTTACGTTTAATCTCTAACGGATCCTGGCTATTTAAGTGCCCGGAAATAACTTCAAATGGTGTTTTGTTTGTCATAGAGTGAATTGAACTATTATATGCAATAACTGCATTTACTACTAACTCGCTAGTGGAGGATTTGGCGTATAATCCTGTCTGTATCCTTACATGCTCCAGTAGGGTGGAGTGAAAACGTTCTATTGTTCCGTTCGACTGAGGGTTCCGTATAGTAGTAAAATGGGTTTCTATTTTGTACATATCTAGTAACTCTTGTATAACGTTATTTTTAAATTCTTGGCCCTGGTCTGATATGATTAGCTGGGGTGTACCGTGGTGAGAGAAATATATCCTCAGAGCTTTAGCAACAGATATGGCATCAGCTGCTGTTAACAAATATGCTTGAGCATACTTAGAAAAGCTATCTATGATAGTTAAATACTTTTCTTTATTTATTGTTAATATGTCCATGAAAACTTTTTCAAATGGTTTGGTAGTAATAGGTACTAGTTGAAGTTCGGCATTTATAGGGCGTCTTTCGTATTTGGAACTGTTACACACGAGGCAAATATTAACTATCTCAGAAACTGTTTTAGTCATGTTTGGCCAATAATATTTTCTTTTTAAAGCCGCGCAATTTTCTTGAATGCCCCGATGGTTACTTTTACCGACATGGAGTTTACTAGCAATATCTTTTTGTTTGCTTTCTTCTACAATATCCTCTAGAATAGTATCGCAAAGCAATAGGTTGTATGCGTTGTTTTTAAATATTTTTTGCAAAATTCTTACTAATGGTTCTTGATAGTCTTTATTAATTAAAATGCCTATCTGTTTATTGGGACTTATATACTCTTTGAAGAGTTTAATAATGTCTAGCTCAAAGTTATTTATACTGACTTGACTAGTATACCTAACTTTGCCTGGAAAGGAATATTTCGTTTTTGGTTTTACTATAGACATAGACTGCACGTTAATTTTCAACTGTACATTGAATTCGTTTAATGGTTTGTTAGTGTATGGCAATTCTAATATGGGGTCTTCTTGATTGCTATGGACTGTTCCTATATCATCGGCTACAGAAGCTGGGATATTATTTATCATAGAGCAATTGTCTAATTCGACTGTGTTTGCATTTAATTCTATCCTAGACAAGGCATCGGCATTACTGTTAAGTTTTCCTTTTTTGTAAATAACGTCATAGTCATATTCCTCCAACCTTAATCGCCATCGAACAAGACGAGAGTTTGGCTCTCGTAATGACATAAGCCAGGTTAAAGGTTTGTGGTCGGTTATAATATGGAATTTCCGCCCAAACAAATAAGGTCGAAAATATTTGGTAGCCCATACAATACTTAAGAGTTTCTATGGTGGAATAGTTCACTTCACTATCATTTAAGGTGCGTGAGGCGTAAGCTATTGGTTTGTCAGAGCCTATTGCCCTGAGAGAGGACGGCACCACTGGCGAAGTTACTCGCAT